TTTCTCAGATCTGCGTTTAGCTGCCCAGGGAACCGAAGACAAGTTGTAACGCCTGACATGGTACAAGACACCAGATGATTCAAGTCTCCATACGTCGGAGTCGGCAGCTTAAGTGTTCGGAAACAAATGTCGTATAAAGCCTCATTGTCAATACAATAAGATTGCGTGGAGTTCTCTATCAACTGATTTACTGCTAAGGTGGCGTTGTATGGCTCCACAACTGTATCAGAAACCTTAGGACTGGGTACCACGGAGTAAGTTACCAAAATTCTATCTGGATATTCTTCCGTTAAATTCGCCAAAAGCAGAGTTCCTAATCCGGAACCAGTGCCACCTCCAAGAGAATGGACTAATTGGAATCCTTGCAAGCAATCACAGCCTTCGGCTTCTTTTCGCACAACGTCAAGGATAGATTCGAGCAAATCTGCCCCTTCTGTATAGTATCCTTTAGCCCAGTTGTTGCCTGCACCAGTGACGCCAAATACGATGTTGTCTGGTCTGAATATCTGTCCGTAGACTCCTCCTCTAATGGTGTCCATGGTTCCCGGTTCTAAATCGACCAGTACGGCTCTTGGTACGAATTTGGCGCATAGTCCTTCGTTGTAGTAAACTTGTATGCGTTCTAATTGAAGGTCGGAGTCGCCGTGGTACACGCCAGTTGGATCAATGCCATGTTCATCGGAGATAACTTCCCAGAACTGGAAATAAAGTATAAGAACTGGTGTTTAAATCGGATTTAGATACAGACATGATTTAGTTAGTTTTGGCATTTTATCTATATTTTACTCAATGTAGGTTCCTCTTTTTAATGAGATGGGATGTAAACGCGATGGATCACCTGATGACAAGCAATAGGGTAGCTGCCAGGCCAGGGTATTAAAATAAAGTTCTAATTAGTCCGTAAGTTAGATACACTGCCAGACGGATATTAAAATAAAATTTAGGAAACTACCCTATTAGCGCAGCCCCTGAATGAGGTTATCGAAGACCTACAAACCCCTTCCCACTTGTAATTGCGCTAATGTTGTGGATAATCTATTTATGTACGTGCGCATTTTCCTCCCA